ATAACTTATAGTAGTTGTATGATTAATTTTCCACTTTTGTAATTATGAAAATTACAATTTTCCAATTATGTTGACATTTAATTCTAGAATTAATTTAGTGTCATATCGTATTAATTTTGTGTTTTGTAATAAAACCATATAATTTGTGTATGTTTCATAATATTCTTGTTTTGTAAATCGATATGAAAATTTCTATCAGATTTTTCATTAAAATTAAATCACTGACATAAAATACTATTTATTTCATATTTCAATTCAGTTACGGTTGAAAATGATTTGATGCATGTATATTATATAATAATTTATGAAGATATCTGACGAAGTGTAGCCTAAATGGCTTGAAGGATTTTAATATATGCACAGTCATTATATTTCTCTTAATCGTGACGACTACCTAGAACTCATATAACATCAGCAGATGCTGTTGACGAAGTTATGGCATCATATAGTTCATTATATGACATTAAACATCGTCCACTGTCATAATTAGCCTCATATATGGATACATTTTATAATTTACCACTGTCCTTTCTCACAACACAGCGCTTTAATTTTATAGTAAACAAGTGTCCCTTAGTAATAAAATCACGTGTATGAAGTAAGTTTTATAAAATCTAGTCCTTTTTTGCTTACGATAGATGTTTATTTAGAAATCTATTCCTGTATACAGAAATTTTACTGAGTAATTTCAATGTTACAGAAATAATTTCGAGTTAGCAATGATGATTCAATCAATTTGGTATTATCACTTTATACTTTTTTATATATAATAATACAATAATTATATTAAAAGATAGTTCTATCTTCCCATTTTATTCTATGACAACTAAGTAGACATGAAATAAATGAACCCAGTGATAGAATGAGTACCGAATTCGTGTCTTACAATTAAACCACGGTTTACTGATGTAGGTCTATTGTCGTCACATATCGTTAAACAGTTTACATTGCATAGCTACTAATACATTGCTTTTTGAAGATTATACTTTTTATTAAGTGTTTATTACGGACTCCGCAGTGTATGATGCAATAATGAGAAATAATTTAGCTCATTAGTTTGCATTGAAAAATTAATATTATTTAATAATGAAACTTTGTTATTGCAATTTATATCGTCGAAATCGACGCGTGATTCTCGTATTAGGCCTAATTATAGGTAGTTACTTTGTTGCATGTAATACAAGACGTTTATACCTATTTACTGATGTAGACATATAATTATTTACGTGTAATAATTTATTTCCAAACTGATTCATTTCCTGTCTATTTTTTCATAATGATTTGTTCAACCTTCGTTAACCAAATATTGTATTTTTTAAAGTAACTAGTTCAAATATATATATTAGGGATTAGTGATCATATATATACTATATTAACAATTGACCTGTATGCTAACTAGCTGCGACCTGGATTTTCTGGTGAAATGAGTCCAAATTTTACTAACATCATGGACATTAAAATAACAAACAGTTTCTAGCTGTGTATGAATACATTATTTGACTTTTATAAATTATAAACAAACTACAAAGAAATATATTATGCGTATAATATCTGAAATAGTTGGACATTAAAATAAAGTTTCTATTAGTCTACTACAAAGAAATGTTTATGCGTATAATATCTGTAGTTAGGAAAAATCACGGGATTATGTTTTACTTATTTTATTGAGTTCCCGATAGTTTATGACTGCGTCAAATTTTATACAGTATATAAAAAAAATTGTAAAGTAATAATACATACAAAAATAGTTTCTAGAAATGAAGTCTGGTATTCATTGGTCGCATATCTGAATAATTATCTTAACCAAATACGGCTGGTGCTAATTGCATTAGATAGGCTTAATATTAATTTGATGTACAGAAATGCAGGCCAGCCTATAAAGATATATATTATATCATATTAAAAAATTAGCCGAACTTTCAAGAAGTGCGTTTATAATATTAGGAACATAATCAAAACCCGTGTTAATGTTATCTGCGCCTTCGCTTATCTTATTCAATCAAATATTGAGGTCCGTTTTGCTACTATGTCTTGAAAAGGTAAAAAACACACATGTACTTTCGCATGTAGAATATTAGTAAGAATATGTATGAATATATGGTTCTAAAACTCACTATTAGTGTTTTGTCAACTATAAATATTTAAGTGCATCATCAACACAGAAGTCAAAAGATAATATTCTAAAACTTAGATCAACGTCATAATTTATGTTCAAACAATTGAATCGATTAACACAGCTTAGTATGATGTAATCTTACCGCCCACGTGCCAATTACAGCCTCATTAACTCTTGATTTTGAAGTATCTCTTATCTCTTTTGTACATAGTTCAGCGCACGTTTAGTTACTAGCTGATCACACTAAGTCATTGTTGTCGCTTCAGTACCAGTAACCACATCATTTCAAACAATGACTAGCTCGCGTTTAATGGGCAAAGCTCGTACAGTGAAAGTAGAAACCGCCATCTCGTTTAATATAGACAATTCTTACTTATTTTTACTTACAATTACACTAGACAGGTGTGTTGGCGTCATTAAAGGGACGAGTCACTGAACTTTAAGAAAAAAAAAGGTTTGTTTACGCCACATGTGTCTCTCCGTTATGATCTTTAGAATCAGTCAACCGATTACTTTACGTACTATTCGTTCCACGATACTTTAATATTTCATTGTACCCAACGATTCTAAATCATGTAAAGAGAATTAAAAAGTATAACTTAGCGGAATTTCTTATTTTAACTTACTGGAGGTAATTGATAAAAATAAACAAGAGTAGGTATCCTTGATACCACTTTATATTTGTCTTTTATAATTTCGAATACAATACAAATATATATATGGTTTTAAAATTTAGAGATTAAAACGAAACAGTTAATCTGTAACGGCAGATATAGTACGGTGATTCGGATAGCTCTCATAAATATCAATTAAGAGGAAATAACTAAAAAATATGAGGTTACTGGACACGTAATATAAATATTTACATACATTTTTTTGGAAATAAATACATAATATACATTCATAGAAATCACCCAGACGAATACAAATGTTTGCATCCTACGTAGAATCATACTATGTGCTAAACCGCTAGGCCACTGAGGATATGCTAATTGTTGTATTTACGACAATGGTATTGAAAACTTTAATAGTTATTATAAACATTATATACATATATCTTACTCAGTACTGATATCATTTCAAAAATTATATTCATAAAATCTATTTGCATTCAGAAGAAACTTTTACATTCAAAGAACTTTTTAGATGTAGAGGGAATTTGGAAATTTGCTTCTTAGTACATTTAATAGACACTACTCTTTACAGTAAAATAAGTAGACATTTATGTTTCAACTAATATTCATTCATGAACTTGAAAGTCATATTAGCTATGCGTGGATCAGGTTTAAACTGGTAACCTCTAACTGGTTTGGAATTCAACGAAAGCTACCAACTGATAATAATGCGTCTCTTATTGTCGTTTTCATATAAAACTGCTTTTTTGCCTTTCTAATAATATCTAAATTGAGTATATATTTCAAGCCCTCCAATAAATGAAAATAAATAAAAATGATTACGTCATTTCTTTTAAATTAAGAATACATCCACCGACCTTTATTAATATCTGATAATGGGTGTTTTTAATATTGGTATGTATACAATACAATACTGACATTTAGATGATAATAATTGTACTGGAATTCTAACGGCAGATGTTCCTAAAGGAACTAAAACCTCGCGATCATAGGATCCCACGCAAACAAAACCACAGACATAATAATAGTACAATTTCAGTACGCAAACAGTCGTCGCAACGTCATCATGTCAGAGGGCGGTGGTTAACGGTACCTAGTAATTACCTACTTACCAACTTGAACATACAAAAATGCGTGAATGGTCCATTGTTGTGCCTTGAGACTACTGACCTCACACATAAGGGCTTAGTAGTAGTATAGTAGTTATATATGCTAGTTGGCATTGCTATGTGATTACGTTGTTGAAAGTAGCTTAATTAGCTTTTTTAGAGGCAATTAAAAGTTATGTTGAGAACTACATGTTTTATTAGAAAAAATGTAATTTGTAAAGGAGTTATTGCACTGTCGTAATCATGGGGTCATATTACGCATATGCATAGAGTGAAATATGTCTATTAACACAGACAAAATATTGTGAAACTTTTATAGATATCGCAAGCAATGATCCAAATTTTCGGTATCATTGATTCTGAATCACGTCCAAGGTTCAGCAAAATTTCTCTTAGCTATATTACTATCAAGATCCATACAAAAACGGTATCATTTGAAGGTTTCTTAGTACCATCGGCTAAGGTAAACAAATAATTACAAATCGAGATCAAGAATCGCGATGCAATCTCCTTTTGATTTGACTGAATCATGATCAGGTACTTGTAGAATCATAGGCGATGGTACTGTAGTTTGATTTACCGTCGCTACTTCCACAATGGCAGTTCATTGTGAACATTAAGTTTTATAAAAAGAGGTTTAATGTTTTTGTTTATACTTACACTAAACTTTGATATGGAACCCTAGAAAAATACATTAATTAGCGAAGATGTAGCATAACACACTTAAAACGTATTCAAATTGCAAATGTCCTTCATTTAAAGTTCAGTTAAGCTAGAGGCATCTTTTTTATATTTTTGAATGAAATTGTTATTTTTTCTTATTTCTGAAACAAATATTTAAAAGAAAATATTAAATAAATGTTATGAAATTTCATGTCGAAATTGTATTCTTTTTTTAATATTAACATTATTTATTTGTATTTAATTATGTCTATGCTTGAATTAAAAATAATAATCATTGACCATCAACTGATATGTTATTATAGTACAGCAATTAAAAAATATATACTGTATAAAAACACAAAATCTTGTTTAGAGGATTTAAAAATATCCGATATAGGTATATTATATGTATACAAGTAGTAATAGAAATAATAAAATGTTCTGTATTGGCACTAAAATTTTATTATATTGTTGCAGATAAACTATCATCTCTAAGTGCAGTGTGACAAGTTAAAAAAAAGATTATGTGCGGCATGCACACGTCGATCTACAGCGGGAATCGAAGGTGACAATTGTGTTGTGACATATGTACATACGCATGTTAGTGTTCGGTGAATAATGATCGTTTGGAGAACGAAGAATACTAGTCGTCGGAAATACGGTGGCTGGTGAGTTTTGATACATTTTTATGTAATATTTTTATTTCTATTATTCTTCAGCATAGAACTATACAATAAATGAATTTGCTGTATATATAGTAAAATGATTATTTATATTTACACTGTCGTGTTCAGTGTATACACATACACACATTAATAGAAGCGCTATGAGTCGCTCATAAAACAAATACGAACAATGACATTAGTGAATAAAGTCCAAAGACACATACCTGATTTTTAAAATCAAATCAAATAATATCTTTATTCAGATAGTTATATTACAGTCAAATTTACCGTCATACTGAACTAACGGATGAAGATGATAGAGTAAAGGAGAAGACGATATAATTTTTAAATGAGCGTGGTCATGATTACATAAATATAGATTCATTATTAAATTTTAATTATAGAGAATATCGTTACCACCAACATATGCCATTGAATTTTTGTCAAAAGGTAATAATCTGGCCATGGAAATAGTGGCCGTAACCCGAACATCACTTTGTCCTGATGTTATAACTATTTGCCGCTTTATGAGCTTGTGTGTATTTCTATATACATTACTTTACTCAAATTATGTTGAATTACCTAATAGATATATTACTTGCCTGTACCGATTACTGTATTTTTTTCATAGATTTTTTTACATTTTACGATCAACAGGTGTGCTCTATTTTAACTACTGACTCACTTCCTCGATGTTGTTTAATTAAAATAGGAGCGGGTTAGCAAAAACTAAATTCGACCGAACCGTTGTTTTAAACAAGTGATGTAATATTTTGTAATTTATTAGCGGAAAATATTAAGATCACAGATCACAATGTATCGCCTTTGTCGTATCTTTTTTGCAAATCGTTGAAAACATCTAGGTATTTGAATGTATGAATGTTTCAATACCTAACTTGTAAATTGAACGCTAGACTATTAAAAACAATAATTACTGTATTTGTATATAGTATGTTAGAGAAAATAAAAAAAATATCAATATATTTATTGTAATTTTACCCTCGCTAAATAAACTAAGAAATTTGTGTAGTAAAAACATATAATACATAAGTAGGACATTTTTAAAACTATCTGTCTATCACAACGCTATATTAGAGAAGAGAAATATGTAATATAATTTGAAAATTTTACCGTCTCATAAATTTCACGTAAAAGCAGACGATTCCGATAACATAGACAATTACCCTTAATTTTTATTACTAAATTTAATTAACAGTTAATTATCAATTCATAAAGTTGTCTATAGTTTACTTTCGTATAATAATTATATTACACTAATACCATACTGGGGAGAAGGTATAATTTATAACTTAATTAAATAAAACGCCTGCAGCCATATAAGATCATTTGTTACCGCCGTCTATAGAGGTACGCTCTGCTTTTTATTTATGAGAAATATTAATAAAATATACATTTATATTGCACGAAATTATCAGTAAATAGATCTGAAAATAATACTAGCTATACGTAAGTATTATAAATTTTCCAAAATATGTAACTTGAAGCTTTTTAAACACTTTTTTGATTATATAAATGTCGCGGCTCTGTTTTTAATCGGATAGTTTTCAATTCTATTTTTGTACCACATTACGATAGAAACCTTCCAAGTTAACAAATTAACAAATATTCAGTGTGTATACAACCAAAGATCCATATTAAACATGGAAATATTAATTTTTGACGCTCACCATTGTTATTAGTTTAACAAGTAAGAAAGTAAGTGGAGATCGATTTAACATGGTAAGATGGTACATTGCTGATAATGGGATCACTAGTCTCCATTACTAACAATCCCCTTTACCCCAGTGACCTCATTGTAAGAATTGTGTCTGGTCGACCTGAACGTCCCACCTGGAAACCATCGTGATTTATTCCTAATGAATTTGGGATTCATCTTCATTCTATCACCTTACATTAGTGCCAGCGTATACCGTTAGCGGAGGCAGGTGCACTATTCCATTGTCATACAAAAAAGCTTCACAGAGCTACGGTAGTAAACTTTCTTAATTAATACACTGATAGTGCCTAATATGTACATATCTTTTATTGATTTACAGTAAAACAAACATGAGTAGACAAACGTTATACTAGACTATTGAGTAAATAGTCCGGTATTTTGTAAACCGTACACTGTGTTTGCATTTCAAATATTGAACATGGCTTCTTGTTAACTTTTTAATTCGATACTTTGTTTGTTGTCGTTTGTTTGACCGCAGTCGTTATGGCCTGAATATTTAATACATATTTATTCGGGGTACGGTTTCGGAACAGATATATTTTATTTCACTAAAAAAACCCCGTCTACCAATACTTACAACCATATTGATTACAGAAAGAATCATCAAATTCAGTTCGGTTTTTATTTAGAATATCCACAAACATTTCAGTGTAATTGAGAATCTCTATTTTTTGAAGTAGTTTGAAGACAATTTCTAAAGAATGTTTAATACATACAACTTAAAAAAGACTTTAAACTAACTTCAGTATGTTATTGTAATAAATTAAAATAAAAAATACGCTATTTCGGATTTTAACTAAAGCATCGGTATACACTGTAAGTTATTTAATTGTTTTCATTTAAGAGTAGTTACCCCCCTTAAGTTTTGCAATTAGGGTTGTTACGTACTTACATAGTAAGTAACAACATTAATTGCAAAATATTGTTAAAGTATACATCATTAAAACTGAATTTATTTAAGATTTAAGTTCCATATTTGTCATAAATATCATAATATTTTATATGTATTTATTACCATTAAACTACTGTAATCATTCGTTTTCAAGTCGTAATTAGTATTTGCATTAAAAAACACAATTTGTCAATTACATAAGTATATATTATAACTTATATAATTTTATGTTGCGAGTGTATCATCTTATTCTTTATAAAAAAAGTACCAGCAGGCATAAAAATGATCAAAATCATTGCGTCGGCATTTCATATCTCCAAACAGTTATCACTCGGTGTGTAACGAATCGAAAAGACATCTTGGATTATTGTACGACTTAATTCATATAAAAGATCATTAATAATATGATTTTCGCATGCAATGTTACATTAATGAGAATTTAAGAGGAAAGTACATTGTACATTGTGCATATTAATATTATAAATGAGATAGTGTGTCTGTATGTTTGTTTGTTTGTATGTGACGGAGATAGACGATATATCTAACAAAAAAGCGGAAGAAGTTGTGGAAATAAATTAGTAAAATAGCGGCTGATAATTTTATTTGTAGATATTATTAACAGCAATTTCATGCCACATTCATGATTGTTCTAATTATCAATGCTATAATATATATGATTATTGTGCATATATCTGTTACCTTTTCACTTCTAAATGGGACACAGAATGGATATAAGTTATCATTTATTTATATTTAGAAAAAGCAGTCAAAATTGTGAGTAATGGCTAGTAATATAATAAATGTAATAGTAACCAATAATGTTTCGCAGATACATATCTAAATAAATAACTGATTCTAATTCATAGCAGAAACTATAATATTATTCCTGCTATATTCTGTACTTCATTAGACAGCAAAAATAAGTTTGAATATAATAAATTCATGTAACTGACAAGAAAATTGACATTTGTACTACCGAATATCTCACCTAGCAACCAACTGCTCATAACTGGTCTCACACATTATGCAGTCTCTCTAAAATATGCCGCTGGCCACGGCCCAAGTAAATTTGATTGATGGAATCGACCCACATTCCGTTGTCGACTTTAATAATTCAAGGAAGAAGTTAAAAAGTGGTTTCGGGAATTTGGGGGTTCTGTGATAATGCGTAATGTGATTTTGAAAGATCGCACAGTTGCCTGTGTGTTTTAATGACATTTGAACATGTGTTTAATATATTCGTGTAAGATTTTTGTAAACTAAGCAGTCTGTCTTATTGGTAACTACTAAACAACTGGAATATACAGAAATATCAATACATACACTTACACATTTCTGTAAATAGACATAAAAATAGCCAAAACACAAACAAATATACATGAGTAAAATTGTAGTGTTTGTTTGGTATTTATGAAAATACAAATGTTTGTATGCTGCCGGTAGAGAAGACCAAGTCAACGGAGTTTAAGCCAGGACTTTTGACTTTAGCATAAAATTTTACTATTTCTCTACTTTTTGTTTGTACGATGTTGATAACTGCATCTTTAGCTTGAATAAAGAAAGAAAATTGGAACTGCTAGTGTTTGGTGTGAAGTGTACTATAAGTGCAATATTAGCAATTATAATATTAATTTTACTAAAGTTGTGTCCAAAATGATTATCTTTTATAACTGTTTTGAAATTAACATATCTACTATGAAGAAATTACAATAGAATTATCTAAAGCTTTATTAAGAAATAAAGTCGACTGCCGAACCCTACATCTGGCTGTGCCGTTTGCGGCGCGCCCGCAGGCTTTCAAAGGATCACCGTGTTTTCGATAAGGTTGTCTCTCTGCCCTCCAAGCCACTGATAAATACACTTTATCATATAGCCTTTACACTTTATGGTTTTAGTAAGCACACGTTATTAATCGTCCGTATGAACGTACAGACACATGTTATTATGACCAGCGCATGCATAAATGGAAGTGTTTTGAATGTAAATATATTGGTTATAAAAAGCCATTAACGTTCTACTGTTGAGAACGAGTCTTTCTATATATTTATTTACGACTGTTATCCCAGATAGGGTAGTCAATAGCCAACATGTGGCAATGCAACACTTGATATTTCGATACTTGATAGGTAGGTAGGTAGGTGGCAGAATACCCCTGCCTCACAGTTCAATTTGGTTTGGTTAGATATTAGGATATCCATAGCACGATTTCTCGCACCGTACAAACTTTTGTATTTATGAGTATAATGGCTTATATCTGTCTGGATCTGGTCTGAGCTTCTATGTCCATTATGCGTGTATTTACAAAAAAAGTGCCTAAGTATTTATATCAGTTGTCTAGTACCTATAACATAACTCTGCTTAACTTGGGACTAGATGGCACTGTGTGAATTATCCATGGATATCATAATTGTTATTACAGCCCTTACTAGAATAAAAAAAATAGTAGATATTCCTTTGCAAATGTAATCATGAAAGTAAATTATGTGCAGTGTGAAATGCAATGATAATGAGGGCATAAGTATTAGGGGAAATCGGTTCAATACCGCGAGTTAATCAAGCGAGCTGCGTGTGAGACTCTCCACATGCAAGTATAATAACGCACTTTCATTTTGTGAAAAATCACACTTTTTGCTTTGTCTAGGCATCAATCTCATTCACTGCTATGGTAACAGAATGCCTACTAGTACTATGTTAATAGGTTATATGTAGGGTCAGTCGTAGGGTATACCATCCCGAAAATATTTGTCTTCATTTTATCTGAGTTTTTTCGAAACGAAGCGAAATACCTCAAAAAATAAATAGTAAATATTTTTTAAAATCTTCATACAATTTGCGTGATCACTTGACCAATTTAGTATGAAAAGTTGAAAATTTAAGTTTAAGTTGTTTTCTACTCGTTTTTTCGGTAAATTATGTGGTTTAGCTTTATGAGTATTCTATGCCTTTTGGCTTGGTATGCCTATTATGATTAATCCCATACGTTTTGCAATATTATTATCGAAATTTAAAATACTTTAAGAGCTTGAAAATACACTGGACTTTTTTTGACGATTTTTTTGACAATCGGTTTTACTTTAATTTACAATGATTCTTTTTTCAAAGACATAGACTATGTTACGTATCTATTCGCCGAACTAATAGAAGCTACCGTGTACAGTAGGTATGTGGACTAATATATGGGTAGTTCAACCTACCGGATCTTCCGTCATTAGTATTTACACTGACAGAGAAACATGCAATACAAGACTGATGCTGAACAAACCTTCTAACATTTCTAATTATACCGACGCGTAATACTATACATCAAGTAATGAGGGAGTAACGAAAGCAGGGCAAGGAGACGTTACATATATATTCAGTATAGTTATTTGAGAAGATAATCTTAAAGAGTGCCATGTTCATAATGCAAAAGAATTTTTAATTTCTCAAATTGGCAAGCAGTAAGAAATAGATAAAAGTTCCTGTAAATTATCTTCAAATTAGTATTGAGATGCCCTATAAATTGTAATATCGCAATTAGCCATTAGCAAAGTTAAGTAGTTCCTAATTATTCCTAAGAGACGAAAAATAACGCATATGGCTTATGCTTACTGAGTACACCCTTTGGATGTCATTTTTCTAAAGACATTCGGAGGCATTTAGAAATACGTATTATAATGATGTTAAAACGGAAAAACACTATTAGTCGTAAACTGATTATCTATTGGTTGCTAAATCCTTTCTTAGGGTAATTTTTCAGTCTAGTTATATTTCAACCGTTATTAATTGTTCTATCGGTTTCGTTTTTTGATTAAAACAGTGGCATATTTACTGTAGATTAGAATTATTGATAGGAGGAAATACAAAATAAATATATATCTACATGGCTGTTTTCCAGAATGGGATAGTCAGAGGCAGTGATAACTATGGACGGCGAGGTGAACGTAACACTTGATTTTAAATTAAACTTGAGATATATGGGCGATGTGTGGGCACGTCGTAATGTACATAATATATATTTGAAACTAACATGGTAGTGGCGACCTCACCGCGGTCTCAATAGTCAGGACTCACTCAGATGTATAATTTGAAACATAAAGCTTCAGTGTGGCCAGATTTGTACTCGTTACCTTTCTGACAAAAGTCTAAGCAGTAGCCACTAGGCCACAGTGCTCTCACTATAAACAAATGATGTACTTCTACACATCACACACATGACAGCTGTCATGGAAAGTATTCGAGTAACCCCTGCCGAGTAAACGGTGTTCCAACGATAATTACTGTACTACGAATGTTAAAATTCTTGAAAAGTCATTTTACTGTATACTGTGATCAACTTAAGGTTGAATTTGGCTAGATTCCCATTGTGTCGGTGCTATTGCTGTCAAATAAAAGTCAATTATGTCATTATGTTGACAGGCTTGCCGGCGGAGTGTTAGTGATAGGAAGCCCCGTGGTGTAAATTTTTCGCTATTTTATTGATGAAAAAGACTACAAATGACTAGTCATTTTAGTATTGGGAATAACAGTATTAACAGTATTAACCATTTCTTATTTTTATAAATACTTTATTTCGTACAATAGCAGTCTGTTGTTGTTGCAGAATCTTAATAATATTATAAACGTGGAAGTTTGCGAGTATGGATCGATAGATGGGTGGATGCTCCTCTTTCACTCATAAGCTACTGAACGGATTTTGATGATACTTTAGTAATATAACTTATACATTAGGATATAAATTTCATGCAGGTGAAACCGTGGGCCTAGTTAATAATAACATTAGACAAAACATTAATAACAAAAAAAAAAATAAATATAAATCAGACCCACCTAAAAATATAGCTTCAGTTTGAATTGTTTTAAAATACATGTCCTTACTATAACAATTTAAAATATGATCTCCTTTAAATTACCCTCTTCCTAGTCACAATATAAAACCACAATGTCAGTGCCACGTGTCCCACAAACGAGATTAATATAAAAAATACGTCATAACACGAGAATATGGGAAACGATCCGACGGCGACATTGACCGTGATCGTTTTCGCTCGAGAAAGCAAATTGTCGTCCATTCCAATGCCTCTTGACCACTGAAGCGTAGCTTTAGCGATATGCATTATACATTGTCATAAATAATATGCAGAATATACGTACATATATACGGCATGTAGATAACTTGTGACTAAAATTTGTTTCTTTAGTTTACTGCATTAGGGTAATAATTAGCATGACTTTGTTAATGTTATATATACTATTCTTTTTTTTTGCACATTTTAAATTCCATATGGTCTGTATAAGTACGATAAATAGTTATATCAATATTTAGAACATGTTATTTACTAAGATTACTTTAGTACTAGATTAGAATTAAGATGGTGCCTATTCAAGAAATAAAAGTGAGAGATTTGCTGTAAACAATAAATCATATGAATCAATCAATTTTATAATATCAATTCGTTGCGGAATATAAAACTTATAATTTATTTATTTATTTTTCTATTGTTAAGTGATACAATAGTGTTGTAACATTCTACGATATTAATTAATGGACGCTCGGACTAATAAGCCACGCCATCAGAAACTAGTTTACTCCGGTTATTTATTCTGTTATTTTCACTTATGTAAATGTTATAAATTTTCCTGTGAACTATGTGATTCCGGTTAAAAATTGCCTTAAAATATTTTTTTCATTTCATTGTTATTTTCCTGTACGAAAGTAGACGGTCAATTCATTGTGTTTCTTGCTTTTTTTTTCTAAATAAATCTGTATAATTTGTACATTATAACTTTCATTGTTAAATATATATTTTTTAAATTATGTTGTTGTGTTTTTTTGTTACAGGTCAAAAATGGCATCGGATGTCGCCACACATATACCCAGAACGACATTCGTTTGGTTAATCCTCGCTTTAGTTAATGTAAGTAACAGAAGTATTATCAATTATTTTTTTTTTATTATAGAAATGTAAAGTATTTATATAAGTGTATATATTTTCGAACTGGCATGTTAACCCTGTGGTCATTACTTTAAAAAAGATGATTCTGAATTCGAATTTTGAAAAAAATATTTCCATCTAGCTCCGTTTGTGTAACTACAAAAAAACTGCCCTAGAACAGCGTTTAGTAAGCAGAATCGAAACTCCGTCCTTGGTGAGGTCGACATTGCAACCTAGCAAGTTTGAGAAGTCTTTTGATACATGAAGCTGGTTTTAGACTTGAGACCTTCTTGTTTATCCGTGTAACAGCCGGAGTATCCGCTCCATTTGTGCCCGTACTACGTTTGCACGTCCGGTGACATACATAGCGTACATATCGCACGCTGGCAACTGGGCCGCAAAAACAGATGGATAGTCACAGTACAGTCAACGTCAATAGTAAATTGCAAAAATATTATCAACAAAATGTAATATTACTATAAATAGCACATCGGGTAGTCCCTGTACAATCTTTTCTCTGGCATTGTCAGTTGTCAACATTATGGTTACGTAAAATATGATATATATGATATAATATGATATATATATATTTACAGAGAATATTAGAGAATCTGTGGTTGGGATTGGGATGATCCTACTGCCGTGTTATAAATAAATCAAGATCCCTATCACATTTAGCCACAATATAAATTGTAAAAAAAAAATTGTATATACATATACAATTTTCTTTTTTGTATCGACCAAAGTAAAATCTGACCACACGAGTCTGTAAGTAAGTCTCTCGTAATGATAAACCGCTAATTAAACAAAAAAACCGCAATGTTGTTTACTTTGCGGTTATGCCACAAAATATATATTGTCAACTTACGAAAATTGTAATAAACAAGTTTGAACCCATTTCTAAAAGGACGACGTTAACAAATACACTATGTATGACTATTTTACGCGGTATGTCCTCTAAATCCTACAAATATATAAATAAATATTTATCTCCCATAATGACTATAAAAAATCAAGATGTTTACTTCTTTAAAATAGTTTTTATTATAACAACTACAATTTATGAGGAAACTACAAAATAATCATCTCAATTCAATGATAAATCATCTGACAGACATCACTAATAAGTTTGTTAGTAAGACGGATTGCCGGTAAATTTATAACACGTTGAAAAATCATTAATCATTTCATGTGATTTAATTCATAGACAGTCATCAGATGGTGTTATTAGTTAATGGTAGCGACTTTCTATCATCATAAAGAGGTAACCTGACGAGCGAAGTGCCATGATGCGCTGTCATCTTGTAATAACTAGATACATGACATTCACTAGCTATGTCTTGCCGCTTTACTTGCGAACCTAAGGCTCTTATTTTGGAAGGAATCTTAAACGTAGGAAATCCCTACGTTTTAAAGGAAATATCCGTAATCTCAAATAGGAATTTAGATCATGCGTGAATATGACAGTTAGCCAGGATAAGTATTTCTTAAATTAAAATACAGAAAGAATTGATAAATCAAAAACGAGTAATACTTAATACAAATTAAACATTATTTATTTATTTAATTAACACAATATAAACTTACAGCTAATTGCCAACACGTTTATATTTTAAAACTACATATTTATACTACTTAAAATTATACAATGATAAAAATATTCTTATTTTAGTAATTATGGAAGGAAGGCTTCTGCATAAACGTCAGCATCTTGGACCTTACCTAAAAATAAATTTAATAATTGCAATGCTCTCATAGTGGGAGAATTGCTAGCGTGGCTTGTGCGTACCGACGCGGTATTATATATATACGGACCCAGTGCTTCTGGACTGAGAGCATATCTCTATATATTATAATTTACTAGCGTAGGTTATAAGTTGTTTACTAACATAATATGTATGTTATGCAAATTAAATAAATAAATATATATATAAATATATATATTAACTGTAATTGCTAATACAGAAACGTCAACACATGTGACGTTATGAACAAAATCTAACTGAGCGAAATATGGGCATGTTTAGTACGTATTTATGTAAAAACTGGATTAAATTATACAAATAGCAAATCAACGTATTACCTAATGGTGATAGTGAAAGGTTTAAAAATATTTTCGTTTCCGACCTATGTTAATGCGTATACGCACGAAACCATTTAGCACGCGATCGGGCGAGTTGATCTGTCGGATTCTGACAAATTAGCTTATGAGAGGGCCAGTTGGTTTCGTCTTTATGTGTGTTCTGAGGACGGATAATTACAACCTAACACTTTCCCGACATTTTAGCTACTAAATCATAGTCGATTGCATTAAATTTCATAAAACATATTTTACTGTTAATGCAAACCAAACAATTCATTATTATTTCTATAGCTGTCCACAATATTAATTAACTATTAGATAAAATCAAAGAAACTCCATATATAGGTATAAATGGTTAATAGAAGCAAATGATTATAAGGATACAGAGAATTATACGGGAATGTTCCTGAGTCCAAGAATGCTTTTCAATAGCGATTCCCGTCACGGCCACGAATGCATAACGTAGCATAATAGGATTGGCCTATCAGTTGAAACAACCAGAGAATTGCATTCGTAACACGACCTAGATCGTAACCTATTACAGCACCAATTTGTATAGGGCTGATTATTTGAATACCCCTATGTTATTGCAAAAATTATTGGAATAATCTAGCCTTGGGCTGGAACTGTACTATTTGTATGCTGCATGCGCAGGTACGTAATGACAGATGATTAACATTGTTACTGAGTAGACTATAAGTATGCACTTTGGAAATCTTGAGTATTGCATACTTTTGCAGAATAAAGAATTGTTTTGTTTTTTTTTTAATTATATATTAGAAATAAAAACTGAGATCTATGAAAAAAGTTTTAAATGTGTGTTTACTCTTTTTCGGACTCTGTCCTTTGACTTTTAGGTATATCGCTAAGGAATAAACAAATGAAAATTGCGGTTATAAACATAAGAATTAAATGAAGAACATTTTATATCTCAGTCTTATTGCATTGGCAGCTTTCATCGGCAAATTACGATCGATATAACTAATAAAAATTTACATTGTATTTTATGTTCATAGTGATCGGTTTTATTTATTAGTGCAATGTATTTGATACCACTTTTTATTACGACTTTTATATTTTTTCCTACCTTTCTATATATTGTTCTATATCTACAATATAAAGTATTTGAAACTTAATTACATAGTGCTATAGTAGATTTTGTAATACTCATCTTTTAATATGTTGGTAGTAGGTTAGGAAGCCACTTTAAAAAACGTTTACGATTTTAACATAATTTTAAGCAAATTTATTTCATTTGCATGGTAATTTTTATTATTTTATAAAGTATGGAATAATCTTTACGATAATCTTATGATTTATATACAACAATTTATTTTGTTGATAATTTTATCATTACTTCGCTCTACTTCAACAACTTCAGGATACATAGCTTTCCTGTTCAGATAGCCATATTCATTACTTCCTCGATCGAGTAATTATATCAAATCATTAATATCGGCATATAGTTAATTTAATTTATACAGTAGCAACCCTAGATTGTGTCTCGTCAGCCGTCCACTTCACGTACTTACACGTCCTGCTACGAACATGTAATGGTTTGTGAAAGCCGTGTGAAGCCAACACATGAAGTATTGTCTATGTCACGTACCATCGGCTCAATTATCTAAGTCTAATTACCAACCGACCGAGTTCACAATTCCACTGGTTTCCTTCGGTTGATTGTGGCAAATTGACGCCGCTTCCTCAATTCGATCTTTACTTTGTTGTCTGAAATAAGATTTATAGTGATTGTAATTTATTGCTTTTATGGACTGTATAATTTAAATTAATGGGGTATTAACTTCTCGTAATTAGTCTTTATTACATTTTTGTTGTTTATACTTTATTGTTAACGTATGGATAGTTGTAGTGGTAAAATAGTAGCTTTTAAATGGAATAGCGGTAGTAATGTCCCTATACAGTATAATTGTTTATCTGATGTACTGTATAGTAAATATTAGTAGTAGTAAATTTAAGACCATTATAACTTTGTCTTTCTGTTATAATATAGTGTTATTTTACATTGTCGATTTGGAAATTATTGACCATGTTCAATAACTTAACGTAAAGTTTCTCTACAATGCACCTAGAATATCCCTAGTAGATTTACATTTAACATCGCTTCCGGTTTTCTTTACACTTTATACTATTCGACTTCGTTAAGATGTTTTGTCTTGTTAAAGGTCACTAGTTTATAGATTCTGACTGTACCGGCACATGCAATTTGTTGTGCATTCTCTATGAATAATACATCGTACACACTGTATAACAATAAGATACGGGGGGCGTTTGCGTGAGTCGAATCATGGAACAGTAACGGTCTAAAATTTGCCCATCCACGGATTCTGATGAATATGCAGCTTCTGATGACGCCTTGTCTTGGAATGCTAACGGTCGGTACACTTCGCCAATCCTGGCTGTGTTCGGTTCGATTTCATCCATCGAAAGTAATAATGATCCGGTTCAGGAGGGTCTTATTTACATCAGACATCCATAGGCTGGTCTTAATTGCTCGTAAACATTATAAATGCGTGAGTTAGTATGCACAGGTCTGCTTCGAAATTACTTCAGATGCGATCGCAGTGTCACTTGCGATTAAATTGGAATCTGATAATCGGATAACATGTTTGTTTATAATAAATAAATGGAATATTTTAAGAAGTTTGTTTTGCAGGACGGAATTTCTCGCATTCTTTTAATTAAAATAATACTTACAATATTTGACAAAAAATATTGTTTTTAAAATTAAAGATTTTTTTAAAACACCGACAATTCTCGATGCATTTACCATAACGGTGTCCATATATTTCGTTACTAATTAAAATGGAGTGTTTACTAGAATAGAATAGAACTAAGTGCATAATCTGCAAAATTTGTTTAATTTTGAGCTGTAGTTTCT